GAAGAGGGAGATGAGTCTGTCTGAAAGATCGTCTTTGTCTGCCCCCATGGACTCTTTAGACATGGGCTTCCCATACATGAAAAATAAGGCACCACAGAAGATGATCACCACAGTGAGGTGGGCAGAGCAGGTGGAGAAAGCCTTTTTCCTCCCCTCAGCTGAGGGGATCCTCAGGATGGTGGCGATGATAAAGACACAGGAGAAAGAGATGAACAGGACTGGGACTGCCAGGAAGATCACATTTGTCACCCCCATGCTGATCACATTGATGGAGATGTCAGCACAGGCCAACTTCAGGACAGCCAGGATCTCACAGGTGAAGTGGTTTATGACATTGTCCCCACAGAAGGGCAGCTGAATTGCCAGGGATGTGTGTACCACAGACGCAACACCACCAGTAGCCCAGGTGCCAGCAGCCACGGGCACGTAGCAGCCTTGTTCATGATCATGGGGTATGTAAGTGGGTTGCAGATGGCCACATAGCGATCAAACGCCATCATGCCCAGAAGCAGGCACTCTGTCCTGTCATGGCAAAAGAGAGTGCCATCTGCACAGCACAGACTGAGAAAGAGATGGTTTCCTGGGGATTCAGAAAGCTGTTTAGGGATAGGGGGACTGAGGAGGTCGTGTAGCAGATGTCCAGGAAGGAGAGGTTCCCCAGGAAGAAGTACATGGGCATGTGCAGGTGGGAGTCAAGGGTGGTCACCAGGATGAGGACCCCGTTGCCCATCAGGACCACCAGGTGCATCAGCAGGATGAGCACAAAGAATATCTTCTCCAGCNAGTCTGGCATCAGTTGAAGCTGTCAGACATATGACCAAATCTCAGGAGATAGTCTCTAAGAAGTTAAACATTCCTACAAAAGGACTTAAGGGTGAGAGACCATTTTGTTTAACTCCACATGGCTTTTGAACGGCAGCTGATGTGATTGGGAGTCCTTTCTTCTAGTGACAACCACAGAGGACCCCTCCACCATCGCTGGCTGAAGCGTTTCTGATTCACCAGGTTCCTCACAGCAGCCTTCACGTCCTTGTTCCTCAGGCTGTAGATGATGGGGTTCAGCATGGGGGTCACCACCCCGTAGAAGAGGGAGATGAGTCTGTCTGAAAGATCGTCTTTGTCTGCCCCCATGGACTCTTTAGACGTGGGCTCCCCATACGTGAAAAATAAGGCACCACAGAAGATGATCACCACAGTGAGGTGGGCAGAGCAGGTGGAGAAAGCCTTCTTCCTCCCCTCAGCTGAGGGGATCCTCAGGATGGTGGCGATGATAAAGACATAGGAGACAAAAATGACCAGGACTGGGACTGCCAGGAAGATCACATTGGCCACCGCCATGCTGATCACATTGATGGAGATGTCAGCACAGGCCAACTTCAGGACAGCCAGGATCCCACAGGTGAAGTGGTTTATGACATTGTCCCCACAGACAGCTGAATTGCCAGGGATGTGTGTACCACAGACGCAACACCACCAATAGGTGCCAGCAGCCACGGGCACGTAGCAGCCTTGTTCATGATCATGGGGTATGTAAGTGGGNGAAGAGGGAGATGAGTCTGTCTGAAAGATCGTCTTTGTCTGCCCCCATGGACTCTTTAGACGTGGGCTCCCCATACGTGAAAAATAAGGCACCACAGAAGATGATCACCACAGTGAGGTGGGCAGAGCAGGTGGAGAAAGCCTTCTTCCTCCCCTCAGCTGAAGGCCTTCTTCCTCCCCTCAGCAGAGGGGATCCTCAGGATGGTGGCGATGATAAAGACATAGGAGACAAAAATGACCAGGACTGGGACTGCCAGGAAGATCACATTGGCCACCGCCATGCTGATCACATTGATGGAGATGTCAGCACAGGCCAACTTCAGGACAGCCAGGATCCCACAGGTGAAGTGGTTTATGACATTGTCCCCACAGACAGCTGAATTGCCAGGGATGTGTGTACCACAGACGCAACACCACCAATAGGTGCCAGCAGCCACGGGCACGTAGCAGCCTTGTTCATGATCATGGGGTATGTAAGTGGGTTGCAGATGGCCACATAGCGATCAAACGCCATCATGCCCAGAAGCAGGCACTCTGTTCCTGTCATGGCAAACGAGAGTGCCATCTGCACAGCACAGACTGAGAAAGAGATGGTTTCCTGGGGATTCAGAAAGCTGTTTAGGGATAGGGGGACTGAGGAAGTCGTGTAGCAGATGCCCAGGAAGGAGAGGTTCCCCAGGAAGAAGTACATGGGCGTGTGCAGGTGGGAGTCAAGGGTGGTCACCAGGATGAGGACCCTGTTGCCCATCAGGACCACCAGGTGCATCAGCAGGATGAGCACAAAGAATATCTTCTCCAGC